CTGTGAACCCTCTAGTGGCACTCACTGCGTTTTATATTTTAGAAGCAGTTAGAAGCCAATCTGAATGTATGTAGCTAGGCCTGGCATGGTTGTGTATATTAAACAAACACTATTACTGGGGATCCACCTGAACTTGTGTGGTTTGTTCACATTGTTATCGCTGTGGAAAGAGCTGAAGACACAACCATTCCCTTTATCCATGCTGAACGGCACCTTGTAGCCGCGCTGATTTCAATAGAAGCCTGGAGTTTCAGCATAAGTAAGGGGGGCTGATCACAGCCCTTGACGTGTGTGCATTGCGATGAAGATCTTGATCCCTTTGGAAGTACTAAACGAGAACGATCTTTACTCGTAGAGAAGGAACAAATTGCAATAGTTGGATCCCAGTTTGGAGTCTGATCTGACCTGTCTCAAAGTTTGGGTGGTGTTACGATTCAGGGTTTGGGTCAGGCCATGCAGGAGGCAGATTATGGTGGTCAGACCTGGGTGTGGACAGGAAACTGCCCCAAGGTTGGGGGGGCAGGGATTAGATCCAGTGTTTCAGTTTGGACCCATCTGAATTTCTCATTTAAAAGTCACGTGCTACCTGGCCTGGTACCTCTGTAGTTAGTGCTCTGTGCTGCCGTGAAAGACCCAAATTACTAAGCCAGTTTACAGATGGGGAAACTAAGGCACAGAAAAGTGAATTGATTTGCCTGAAGTCACACAGCAGGCCAGGCACAGGGCCAGCTCCAGGCACCAGCGAAGGAAGCAGGTGCCTGGGGCGGCCAATAGAGAGGGCCAGCACTCTGTCCGTGATTGGGGCGGCACGTCCGCATCTTCGGCGGCAATTTGGCAGCGGATCCATCTCTCCCTCTTCAGCGGCAATTCGGCGGCGGGCCCTGCTTCTTTTTTTCTTTGCTGCTTGGGGTGGCAAAAACACTGGAGCCGGCCCTGGCCAGGCAGAGCTAGTTTTAAAACGCAGCTCTTCTACTCCTCTATCAAGCTGCAGCACCTTCCTCCCTCCCCTCACCTTCACAGCCAGTTCCTCTGGCCAGGGCTGTTTGAGCTGCAAGCCTGGGATGTGCCTCTTGCCGCGGTTTGGAGTCAGAGGGTGCTGACAGCTCCACGCAGCAGGCCCAACTGTAAAAAGATGCTGCCAGGGGGCAGAGAAGGAAAAGCACCATGGGTCTCCAGAACCTCTCTCCCAATACTGGGACCGACGCCAAGGCAAGCTGGCCCCTTGACTCAAAGGACCAAAGGACTTTAGAGCTCTCATGAAAATTATTTTGGCAAGGACCCCTCGTATAACAACTCATGGCTTGGGTTAGCATCTCTATTTATGGAGTGTCCCACTGAGCCCTCAGCAAATGTTTGATCTGTTCCCTTTTCTATTCTAATACTCTACAGTGGGAGTGGCCGACCTGGGACTCCAGAGCCCCCTGCGGCTCTTCAGAAGTTAATACGCGGCTCCTTGGATAGGCACCGACTCTGGGGCTGGAGCTACAGGCGTCAACGTTCTAACGTGCCGGGGAGTGCTCACGGCTCAACCCCTGGCTCTGCCACAGGCCCTGCCCCCACTCCACCCCTTCCCGCCCCCTCCCCTGAGCCTGCAGTGCCCTTGCTTCCTCCCTCCACCCAGAGCCTTCTGCACCCCACAAAACAGCTGATCAGGAGGTGAGGAGAGTGGGGGGAGTCACTGATCGGTGGGGCTGCCGGTGGGTGGGAAGCGCTGGGAGTAGGACGGGGAGCTGATGGGGGGGCTGCTGACATATTACTGGGGCTCTTTGGTACATTGGTAAATTCTGGCTCCTTCTCAGGCTCAGGTTGGCCATCCCTGCACTACAGTACGGGTCTAAACAATACAGCTTCAATTGACAGTAGTAAACAAGGCACACATTTTTAACAGTGGGGGTGATTAACCATTGGAGCAAACTACCAAGGGAAGGGGTGGATTCCCCATCTCTTGATGTCTTCAGATCAAGACTAGATGTCTTTCTGGAAGATCTGCTTATTCAGACGCAAGTTACTGGGCTCCATACGTGACTGGCTGGATGAAACGCTTTGCCCTGTGCTATACAGGTCAGCCTAATCTAATGCTCCCTTCTGGCCTTAAAAATCTATGAATCAGTAGCAATGCTGCACTGTGCTCTTGGCCGGTGCTGTACAATGCTGCTGCATTTTCCAGATTACTAGAAAGAGGAGTGGTGGGAGAAGATTCTAGCCTTTACCCCAGATCTGAACACAACTCCTCTTAAAAAAACAAAAAAAGAAAGGAAGGGGGGGGGAAAAAAAAGGATACAACAGGCAGGAAGGAGCCCCTGAGAATTACGGCTTGGAAAATCATGAACAAACAGAACAGAATTGCCAGGGGAGAAACAGCCATGAGAGAGGCAAGCAGAAATAATTAGCTCTCTAATGGTCACCACTTCTGCTAGATTGGAGGCTCTTAGGGCAGGGCCGGAAGCAAAGGGTGAGTGGCGAACACAATTTGTATATTGCATTTAATAGCCTCAAAGTTTAAAAAAAGTCCCATCTTACATCACACAGACAGAATCCCTGAGAGGCAGTGAACTGTCACTGCAATGAGGGGGAAAGCGTAGAAAAGCCTCATTGATTACCCAGAGAGTGACTGGGTCTGTTAGAGAGCCAGAGCTCCCACTGAGGGGAAGCAGGGATGCTTTAAGAAATAAACATCCCCAATATGGAGCTTTAATCCACTGGATGGTTAGGGTCACAGCCCACAGGCATAGGGAGGTTTGATTAGGCTAACCAGGCTTTAAAAGCTAAATATCAGAGTCGTACAGCTTCTTGGTTACTAGCTGCACAAAAGGGAAGACAGGAACATTGCAGCTTATTCACCTGCAACATGGGGCCTGATCCAAAGATCCCAAAGAGGCTGATGGGAATATTTGACTTCAATGGGCACTGGATGAGGCCCTTAGATAGCACAGCAATGCAGAGTGCAGCAGCATAGGGCTTCCTGAAGGCAACACAGCTAATGAGCTTCTTAGCACAACCAGCCCTTCTGTAATCAGTGGCAGACTACTGCACGGGCCAACGGGGCTGGTGCCCAGGGGCCCTAGCCAATTTAGGGCCCCCAGAAAAATCCTCCCCCTCCACGGCCCCAGGGCTAGAGGAGCTCTCGCTTCCTGCCAGGGCCCTAGGACCACATTGAGGGCACAGAGCTTCTCCAGTCTCAGGGCCACAGTGGGGAGGCAGGGCCTGGAAAAGAGCGAACGGGGGTGTGGGGCCACGGGTAAGGGGTGGAATGGGTGGGGCCATGGGTAGGGCCTCAGGGGAAGGGGCGGAATGGGGTGGGCCGTGGGCACAACAGGGTGGGGCCGTGGGCAGGGCCACAGGGGAAGGGGCGGAATGGGGAGAACAGGGGTGAGACCTCAGGCTGAAGGGGTGGGGCAGGACCATGGTTCTGGTGCTGGGGCCGCCCCACTTGCTCCGGCCCAGGGCCCCAGGAGACCTTAATCCGTCTCTGCCTGTAATACAGGAACTAGCTCAGATAAGAATAATCAAAACTCATGTGCCAGGGTGTAAATCACACACAACCACAAAGGGCCCATGCTACGTAGCTGCTTGCATTCCTTGAACCAACCAGCCTACAGTCAGTCTGGGGCCCCCAGTTAGCTTCTTGATTGAAGCTCAAGATTTGAGACCAGATCCTCAACTGATGTATATCAACATCACTCTGTTGGCATCGATTAATGATCTGGCCCTCAGTGTATAGCCTGCCCCAAGTTTCTCTTCCAGGCAACTTTACAGGACAGGAGATGCAGAGAGAGGAACGTGCCCAGAGATGATGTGAGCATGTGTTTTGGAGATGGCAGAGGCTGCAGAACTGTGGATAGAGGGGACACATTATTTTCTATAAGTTTTGTAGTTTTTAAAAGCCATTAGATGCCTCACTCCCTCCATCATAGCATTCCTGTTATACCATTTTTCTCATATTAATGTAACTGCCTCTCACGAAATTCCACCTTGTGCTTGCCACCGCGGTCCCTCTGCCACCCAGCAGCAGCAACCCATCCCGCCCACAGAGCAGGGGCTGCTTTCGCAAACAGTGCTGCAAGGTGGGAATATTCTACAGGAGCGGCAGGAATGCATTGCATTACAGCACACGGAGACAAGGGGAAGGCAGGCATTACTGTCTGACACCTCAAGAGGGCACCACTGGCTGCCTACTGCCGCTAGCATCTGGGAAAGCCTTCTGTAAGCTGCATTTACACCGCACTTTTGTCGGTGAAACTTGTGTCAGTTGGGGGGGTTCCACTCCCCGACCACCAGAAGTTTTACCAACAAAAGTGCTAGTGTAGACCAAGCCTAAGTCAAGCTTCAGCCCTGATTTACCTTCCTCTCACATATCCTTTGTAGATGCTCAAATATAGCAACAGGCGATTGTGTAACGTTAACCATACTGTGGGTTAGATTCCCATCTTCCCCAACCCAGCTCCAGGCCATGGGGTGCCTGACAACAACTCAGGGGACAGAATCCCCATATGTAATTAAAACGGTCATGAGAACCTCTGCATTCTGCCCAGGGCCACAGGGTCTGAGCTGCGTTAATTCAGATATTACAGAGATGGGTGCAATTTAAATAACAAGAGAGAGATTAGATATAAACAAAGATGGGGCCAAATCAAACCTCTGGATCCAAACATCCTGAAATTTGGTGTGCGTAAAATCTGGATCCTAAATGTACAACCTGAGCTTGTTCTGGTGTTAATTCATTAAAACAAAGAAAGGGCCAAAATCCTCAGGTGATGTAAACACCGATTTACACTAGTTAAGCATCTGACCCAAAGAATCAGATCTGGTGTGGTGACACAGAGATCAGTGGAGTCACTTCTGATTTACACCAATTTAAGTGTGAGGAGAATAAGGCCTGTATAATTGTAAACCGTTTTCTAACAGGAGACATTATTCAGGAGACGACCTGTTAACTTCCTGAACACGGTGACACCAAAGCTTTGCACAGGTGCCTTCACCAAGCGCAAGGACTTCCCTACCTTCTGCCACAGAGATTCCCGGGAAGCCAGAGAGGAGCAGGCTGCTACGAACCAGCAGTTCCCAACATGGCCCTGGTGCAAGTCATGGGAACTGATTCCATCCACAAAGAGATAGGGGTCGTCACAGATCTCCTAGAGGAAGAGAGAGAAAAAAACCCACAAAAGGTGAATGGGAAGCAGGGTTAGGCTTGAGAATTGGGATTACCTTTGTCTTCACTAATGGCATGGCGTACCCCTCCCCCAGCGTGCATGCACACACTCCCTCCCTAATTTAGCAAGGTATCCGAGCCCACGTGTGACTTGCTCATGAGCAGCCCCAATACTTTTACAAGACAACTCATGCGCTTGAAGACCACGCGGGATCAGGGCCATCCCCAGGTGCAACTGAGAGCAGAAACTGCTCCTTGGTGCCAAGCACCACCACCTGGGGGCTGCTCGAGCTGAAAGGGCCAAACCATTTACAACACACCTTTTGCAGAAAGCGTGTTAGATCTGCAGCGAAACAAGGCAGACTCTAGTCTCTTGTCTACAACACATGTACGGCATTGTGCTTGGCACAGCAGAGCCCTTATCTCAGCTGGGCCCTCTAGCTGCCACTGTGATACAAAGAATACAAAGAAATGATTCTGTACCTGTTAGTAATGGGTGCAGCTGAACCAGGATTACTAGACCATTAATGGGAGAAATGCTAAAAAGCCACAGAGCAGACAAGGTCTAACAGACTTCAGTGCTCGGAAGGGGCTTTCCCTGCTATTCGGATGCATTCCACTGATCCTAACTGCACCCTTTTCTCCTGCCTTGCTCTTTGCGCTCTTCAGATAAATGGATTGTATCCCTCTGCTCCTAACCTCAGGCTTCACATAGCCGAGTGGCAAATATTTTCCTCTTTTAGCCTTTCTTAACTAGTCAACCCCTCCAGCTCCTTCCTGGCTTTGGCTAGTATTATTATTGGTTATTATTTGTATTGCAGTGGCACCCAAGAGCCTGTCATGGACAGGGACCGCTTTGGTTTCGGCACAACTCCCCCCATCTTTCTATTTTTTGACATCTTCCCGGTAATGCAATATGCCAGCCATGGTCTTGCCACCGCCCAACAGGAGCAGCCTGCCCCAGATTTATAGAATTAAAGGCCATCTAGTCTGACCTCCTACGTAACAAAAAGCCAGGGGACCTCACCCAGTGATTTCTACATCAAGTCCCTAACTTGTGGTTGAGCTAGAGCACATCTTTCAGAGAGATCTCCAGTCTTCACTTAAGGAGTTCAACTGATGGCGAATCCACCACGTTGCTAGGTAAACTGCTCCTATGGTTCATCCCCTTACGGTTCAAAATAGTGTGCCTCATTTCTAGTCTGAATTTGTCTAGCTTCAGTTTCCAATGGCTGGCTCTCTCTCCTGCTAGATTAAAGAGTCTTCTACCATCAGAAATCAAGCCATTTGTTTAACTCTCAGTTAGAGCAGTCAATAAACCTCTATTTAATTTCCATGGCTGTTGTGGATTTCATAAACAATGGAGCTTGTGGTGTGATAAACAGAAAATAGGCATGAAACACATGAAAAGCACGTTCCCACCAGCTCTTTTCTTATGGGGCAACAGGACAGAGGGTGAGCAGCCAAGGGCTGAGTGTGGACTTAGAAAGCATCCCCACTTTGAGGGGGTAATAGTTTAAGTACTAAGGGATTAACTTATTAGTGGGGTGATTCAGCTCATTAGCTGGAAACAGTTAAAGGAGAGGCAGGAAGGGGGAGGGGGAGGCCAGAGAAGTGAGATCCCCCTCCCCCGGTAATAGGTAAAGGCTTGGGGAAAAGCCTTATGCTAAGGGGAACAAACGTTTCTAAAGCACGTTGCACAAAAAGCGCTGGGTACTGGTGTGCCAGAGGACTGCTGGCAGCAAGAATCCAGGGAGAGGGAATCCCACTCTGTGACAGGCTAGCACAGGGAAGTGGATGGTAAGAAGCCACAGATCTGGTGGAGGTGGGGATGAGAGGGCAGGAGCCCGGAGCTGGGGCCAGCTGGCATCTCCCTCAAACTGAGTCCCCCCCGCCCCTCCCGGACCAGACCATTGCATATAACAGGGGAGGAGGCAACAGAGAACACAGGCCTGTAGGAGATCGGGGCCTGGATCTCCCTGAGAGAACAGTGTTGCCTTCCCAGGAGTGAGACCTGCAAGGCAGCCCAGGGGATTGAGACATATCTTCTATCCAAACTCAAGGAACACGTGTGTCTAAGGGCTGTCTTCACTGCAGAGCTAACTCAGGCTCTTACGCAGGGGTTGTCCCAACCCCCTCTGGACACAATAAAGCCTCCCGACCTGCATTTGGTGGTGCTTTCTACCTGGGTTAGCTGGCCCAACTGAGGATCTGGAGCCTGGGTGATGCTTTCACTAGGGCTGGTAACCTGCCCACTTTGCAGTGAGGATGCAGGCTAAATCCTTCGAATGCCAATGGTCCTCCAATCCCTTCCCACAATTCCCCCATGGGACCAAGTTACTTCACTGGGGAAGAACCACTGAGCAGCTCAGTGTACTGCAGCACAAAACCCCTGGGATGTGGCCCCAGTCACCCCCGGGTAGCACAGCACCAGTGAGGACACAGTTACTGGTGTATGACTTTGCAGTGTGACTGCTCCGGCCCGGGCTAGGCTAACCTGAGTTCACTCTGCCGTGAAGAAACATCCTAAATCCCCTAGACTGCTTTGAAAGTCTTAAGCGAGGGTTCTGCCCAGCAGCCTTTACGCCCTGAAGTGCAGGGGAGGTCTGGGCACATAGGGATTGTGGGGAAAGGCCCCTTTTCCTTTGACTCCAAGCTCTCTGGGGGGGAGGGGGGGTTTATGTCTTTGTACAGTACCCAGCACAACGGGGTCCCTGCTCAACTAGCGCTCCTAGGCACTACCGCAACATACCAATAAATACATGGGTTTGATTTGCCTCGGGGGGAGACTTTGGCACGTACTCAGGGGGAAGAGTCGTAGGTTCCTAGGCTAGCCAAGAAGATTGCGATCATCTGCTCTCACCTCCTAGTCACCCCAATGTAGGTCCGTCCCCATGCTCTTGAGATGACACCAGCAGGGGCAGCCGAAGCGCTGAAGCAGGAGGGTGAGATGTAAAGGCCGAAGGAAAATGGCTAGGAAAAGCCATGAAAAACACCAAGGACCCCCCTCCCCCCTTTTTTTTTTTTTCTGTAGATGGATTTCTGGAAGAGGGCACGTTACAGATGCAGAAGTTTATGTCACCGCAATGTTTTTAATTTCAGAGGGAAAGGGGAAGGGAGGAAGCAGCAACATGGTCACTGACCCTGGAAGGCCCAGAGCAGGCATTCCCCACAAGGATGGTTTATCTCACACACACACACACACACACACACAGCGTGGCTCTGACCGAGGGAAGCCAGGTGAACTCTAACATTAACACAGCCCCACCTGAAAGGCAAACAGTGAGTCAGTCTCTCTCCCATCAGGCTGTGTGAGATCAGGAGAGTCAGACACAAACACATGCACCCAGGGCTGTGTTAAGCCTTATGGGTCACACCTAAAAGGGGGGGGGAGCACAGGCTCCCAGGCAACGAGCTCAAATAATCCTCAAGGTGCTAACCTGCCTCTACCTGGGCAAGAAGGTGGGTTTTCAATCAATCAAGGCCTCCTCTCTACAACCGTTTACAACACAGCCATTATTGAACAGTAGTGACAAATTCCAGGTTAATGTTAGAATGCCAGTGAGCTACTTGGAGAAGGAGAAAGTGTCGATCTTATACTCTGTTGAATACCCTTGTAGAAAGAGACACGGTGTATGGAGAATAAACGAACCCACGGGGCCTGTCCTGCCCTTCTGACTCACGTGAGCAGTCCCACTGACTCCAGTGGAAACATGCACATGAGGAAGGCCAGCAGGATGCACCCATCATGCACTGGGCCAGATTCACCAGCACTCACGGGTTCCTTTGAACCGGAGGGGCATCAACTTGGCGTAGCTGTTTCTGCCGGAGCAGCACAAAGCAGGCGAGGCATGCTGGTGCCTCTGGCCCATCATCTTCATAACGATCATCCCCCGCACTGCTCATATAGCACTTTTCACCCCATCACAGTCAACCCCATTGCACCGGCGAGCAAAGTGAGACACGGTTTAAGTGACTCCTTCAAGGACAGGTGGTGGGGTGAAATCTTGGCCCCATTAAAATCAATGGAAGTTTTGTCATTGACTTTGATGGGGGCTGGGATTTTAACCCTGGAGTACCACACAGCTGCTGCTGGAAACTGGCCATGGAGCCAGCAGAACCAGCCCCAGTGCAGAGGATCCTCCAGCAGCACAGAGCCAATGTCCCGGCTCCTACCCACCTACACTCCCTGCTGCCAGTGAGAGGGCAAGGACAGAGCTAAGGGGGCCTGGCATGTGCCCTGTGCCGTGCCGATCCCCAGCTACCATTTCAGCTTGTTGGCAGCACATTTCACGGGGTCCAGCTCCACACACGGCTACTCCAGAACGAGGCTCAGGATATGCTACCTTTGCACCACCTGGCGCCACCCTATGCAACGGGCTTCTTGGGATCTAGCCCAGCAGAGTCAACGGCAGCACTGGTAGCAGAACCCAGAACTCATGTGTCCTGGTCCCATACGCGACACAGCGGACCACCCTGCCTCCATCAGCTCAGCGCAGCCACCAAACCCGCCAAGTAACAAAATCCCATGGTGCACCAGAGCCCTGATCTGCGGTGATTTATATTACAGTGATGCCTAGGGCTTCAGCTGAGACAGGGCTGCAGTGCGCTCGGTGCTGTACAGCCAGACAGGAAGAGCCAGTCCCTGCACCAGAGAGCTACACAGACAAGAGTGGTAAAGGAAAGCGAGAAGAGCCCAAGCACAGCTTTCGCTATGGAGCAGGGATCGCACGCTGTCCCCGGCTGTCTTTTAAAATCCCTTTCTACCCGCCACTTTAGATGTGTCCACGTGCAAACAGCTCACTGGGAGCACAGCCCCCAATTGCGCTTCCCTTTAAAGCAGTGGTCCCCAAACTTTACAGCGTCGTGCCCCCCCCTCCAGCCCTGTCCGCCCCCAGGGCTGGGAGCAGGGACGCGGCTCGGAGGGGAGGGGGATGCGGATGCGGACAGGGGTAAAGGAGTTGAGGCTGGGGGCGAGGCAGG